CTTTTGTCACCTGTGTAGGTTCCGCTGTCTCTGTTACTGATTATATTTACCACCCAAATACCTTCTAAAAATGCTATGCCTCTCCCTGTGTACGAATGTTCCCTCAGACTGCAACAGTGCCCAATTTCCATCTCCTTAAATCATATTTTTCCCCAAACACAAGATGATCCTTGTAAGATCAGGCACCAGTGACCAAAAGGAGGCACATTAAAAGCTGCTGAAAAAGGCTTGACTGAGATTTGTTCCAGGGAAGACCCTCTAGTCCAACCCAGTGGGTGGGTGGGTGGGGGGAGTCGCACCCAGGCTCAGCCAGATTGGAATTTGATGGGGTTTACAGCAGAAAGAGAGGGCTTGGGACAGGAAAGGGAGGTTTTTAGAGTCCCTTGTCCTCCTGGGGTTGACCCTGAGATCCATGTCCTTCCAGGATTGGTCAGGAGACCCCATCTGATGGACAGGTGGTTCACTGCTTATCTGTGGGTGTCTGATTTGTTGTTCTTTCACGACAGACAGCATTGCCTGGTGCTTTGTTTCCTTAGCCACCACAAACCAACCTAACAACCCCTGAGGGGAACAACTGGGTCCTTCACATTTTGATTTTCTTTTAAAGGAACCAATATTCAAGGGCTATTTGTTGATTTTTTGATATTTTAATATGCCTTGGAATTTTGATATTAAGACTTGGACATAAAGAACTCATTCGTTTTTTCTTTCTTTTCTTTCATTTCTTTTTTTTTTAAAAAAACTGGGTGTCTATTGATTCAGGAACAAAAATAAGCTAAAAGCTAAACACAAAGAAGATGGAAGATTTTGCTAACAAAGAAAGTTAGTTTGTACTATGGTAGTCTGAGATCTCTATCTTATAAATTCCCTGTGTTTTCATTTCTATTAACATGTGGGAAGTTTTTGAGTTTGTTGTGGGCAAAAAATAGTATTTGGGAGAAGTTAAAATAAGTTTTTCTTGTCTCTACTTTCAAGGCTATGCTAAGGAACAGGAAGCTCTATGGACATAAATCTACTGATTTTTAAGAAAATGCAGCTCACCTGTGTCTTGGAGACAAGTCACAAGATTGCTAACCAGAGTGTTGGTGGAGAGGTGTAGTGTCGCAGGAAAGAACTTCTCATGAAAGAACTCTCTATTTCCTTGTCTTACGTAATCCTTATCCACTCACCCGGGGCTGTCATTCCTGCCTCTGCACCCTCAAGAGCAAAAGCAGCCAGCACAGTGACATTTTAATAATAATACTTTGTACTTATACAGCACCTGTCATCCAATGATCTCAAAGTACTTTTCCTGAGATTAACTCATTAATCCTCACAAGGATAAGTGACTTTCCCAAGGTCACAGAACAGTGAATGTCAGGGCAGGCAAGTGTCTTGAGTTCCCCACTCATATCAAAGCTCCCGAGGCTGTCTCCCTGTCTGCCCTCCACAAAGTCTCCTCTGACATAACCCAGGATCACAGAGCCACCATGAGTTTATTGCACACCTGGTCTTCCATGCAAATCCTTTTGTTTCATCAGTTCCGTAGTCAGACATCTCTGTTTAGAAATATCCCATTCATATCAGGAAAAGTAAAAATTCTTGGAAGGGTACAGAGATGGCTGGAAAATACAGCTGTGTATAATGCCACCTTGTATTTTGGATTTGGTTGTTACCTGTAATCCTATAACAGACACAAGCAGGAAAAGTAACTGTAACTGAGTCTGCCTAGTAAAGAGCATTGGGGCAGGCCAGCTAAGAGTAAGAATGGGCACTCAAAGGTGGCTACCTTCACATTTTATAATAGCCAGCATCAGGGGCTGAAGCTGGTGCAGAAGGGACTTTGAATAGCTATTGATCTTTGAACTTTGAACTTTGGGATAGCACCTGAGAGAAATGAGTTCTGAAGCAGCAGAGTCTAGATTACAAAACTGGGGGGCCCAGACTTGACCTCAGACCTATATAACATATGGACTTTCATGTAGGTGCCCTTGGAATATATATATTTGAAAAAGGGGTCCTGTGGAAGTAAAGGAAATGAATTAGAGAGTGTCTGGTTCAAATTCTGCTTTTACAGGATAGGTTTTTTTTTTTTCTTTTCTGTTTTTAAGATTCCAGCAATTGAACCCTGGACCTTGTTCAGGCAAGTACTCTACCACTGAGCAACATCCCAGCTTCCCAGGTTGGGGTCCTGCCTACAAAAGCTTACCTGAAAATACCAGGGACATCTTCTGGGTCCATGCAACAGGACAGATGATTACTGCATACAGGATTGGAGCATCTCAGGCATATCCTGAGTGACTGTGTCTGGCTGAAGAACCAATGTGGTGGCCACCCTTACTTAGATGGGAATGGGGTTGGGGGCAGGTAGAGAGGGGGATTGCCACTCTCAGTCCTGATGAATATACAGACTGTATGTATGAAAATACAATTAGTGATGTAGAGTAATTGCCCAGGTAATATTTTTTTTACAATAGAATAAAAGATTTGAGAAGACTTTTTATGTATTATTTGTAAAAATGCATTCTACTGTCATATATAACTATTAGAAAATTTTTTTTAAAATTTGAGAAGAAACAAGAGTTGTTGGCATTAGAAAGCTTCATGGAGTAAGTAAAATGTAAACACAGCCCTCATGTGAGGGTCATCTCTACTAGATACAGGAGTAGAAAAGCGTGAAGGCATAATAATAAGTGCCTTCACTTCATAGTACATGAAGCCCCTACCATGCATAAGATATGCTACACACGTTAACTTCTGAATGTAACAAAAAGGGATTATTATAATCCCCAGCTGAAAGTTCATAATGCAGACTCAGAAAAATATTAAATGATCAAGTAAAGGTTACTAAGTAGTAGATATACTATTCAAACTCATGTGTCAAATACCTATCTGGTGCTTATTCCCCATATCCTACCTTCTCTCTCCTACTCTGCAATTCTGCATGAAAGTAAAAAGAAAAAGAAATGAAATTTAAGGTGCACAGTATGAAGTGTGGTCAGGGACATGTCCACTGGGGACGCAGAAGAGAATCAATAATGATACAGATGGAGTTGAGGTTGCACAACCTTGAGAAATTTAGGGATTTGAACTCCAGTTTCCCCATAGGGGTCATCAAAAGGTTTTAAGGAAGAAGGTCTCCAGAATGGTCTGGTAGGAGTATTGACCTAATTGCAGCATTTACAGTAGCTAGGGAGGTAGGTCATTGTTCAAGCACAGGGAGTGCTGGCCAATGTCCAAGCACCCTTGGTGAGAAGACAAGGACATGAGGATAATTTTAAAAGAATACTCCAGAGGATATTGTCATTTTCAGGAATCACCATCTCACACCAGTGGTGGTACAAGATTATAGGGTCAAGACCCTGAGAGTCTCAAGACACTTGATTTGGTCCCTTTAAGGGAACAAACTAGCCTGAACACATCAAGGGTGGGTTTTCTTCTTGAGGATATGTGAGAGCAGAGACCCTGACACTCCATCCATCCTCCTTCTCAGGACCTGATGCCTGCCTATGGTCAGGGACATCTGACCTTATCCAAAATAACCTTCCCAGCATTCATTTTCACATTCTTTTCCTCAAGTTAAAAGGTCTGGGGTCAGGAAGCTTCCATATCCTATTAGTTAGTGATCTGTAATCCAGCATTCAGTAACATCTCAGGAAGGAGAGGCTCTAAGACTCAGGAAATCTGCTTGTGCCTGGAGCAGGCCCATGTGGAACTGAATTGGCTGTAGGAGGGAGAGTAGAGTGTAGATGTGGAACTTGGGTAGGCTAGGCTATGTCACTCAATCACAAAGGAACCTGTATATCAATTGTTCTGTTTCTATCTGGGGTTTACAGCCCTTTTCAGGGGCTGCTAATCTGCTTATTTCTGTCCATCCCCTCCCTGGAGAGAAAGCAAGGGCATTATCACAAAAAAGGGAACTGGAACTTGTCCATGCTCTGTTTTCTCTGGTTTCCTGCAATGGAGAAGCAACAGAGGTGATGCGCCCAGGCTTTCTGGTGTGTGTGTGTGCGCACGCGTGTGCATGTTCATAAATGCACACAGCTCAGTTCTCCCTCCCTTTCACCAGAGATTTAAACAAAGAGCTAGCCCAGCAGAATGGCTATGGTGACTCCATGCCAGAGAAGGCTGGAGAGAAGGACCCAAGACAGCATTTAAAGATAGGTGCAGGGATTCAGTTAAAGACCCCAGTGTTGCTGGAAGGAGCTTAGGTGACTCCACTGGGGAGGAAGGATTATGGTTTGTGACCCTGAATGGCTTCAGGATGGCTCTGAACTCTGGGTGCTAAAGTCCTATTTTCAGCCAGCAATGCTCCTAGGGAGTTGATTGTATCATATACACAGTAAGAGGAGGGAGGGTCGCCTGCGTCTTTTCCTCAACAGCCCCAGTTCCCCTGTCTTTCCTACAGGATGAGCAAACAGGTGGGATGCTGAAAATATATGATTGCTTGCTCTTTGTATTTTAATGGGTGAGGTTTAGAATTAGTCCTCCCCATGTTAAAAACTGTCTGATTTATTATGGACAGGAAACCTAGGAATTTGAAGCAGTTCTGAGGCCCCGGTGCAGGAGAAAATGAAGAGGCCAGGGAAAGCAACAAGCCCATGTCAGCTTGCAGAATGCTTGGTGTCGACCTTCACTCCTTTCTCCTTCCACTAAGATTGCGGCTCCCATCCAGGCCAAGGAGCTGTCACCAAAGTGTACAATTGCCTCATTACCAGAGAGAGGAGCTGCATGCTAGGAACCTTCTCAGCCCCCTGGGGCACAGAGACCTAGGATAACAGCCTGGCAATGCACCCCCTGCTGGCTTTTATTGTATGCTAATGTAATGGGCCATCAGTCTGAAGGCTGTCTGAGCATAGAAACAGGATTTCTTTTTGTCTAGTTGGAACAGTCATTTGAAATTCCAACCAGTAGAAAGGAGTGTGAGTGTTTTGAGCAGGAGGGAAGGAGGAGGAGGACATAGAGAGGCAGAAGAAAGGAAGTGGGTAAAATACAGATTTTGTGAGAGAAAATACGAGAAATTCAGAGAGCTTTCTGCTTTAATGAAGTATAGCTTAAACAAAATGCAGGGTAGGCCAGTATGTATTTCTCATTGCAGCATTCCAAAAAAATATCCAGGGGCCAGCTTTGCACACAGCAGGGAAGCCCAAGGTCGCCCACCTTCTGAAGAGTGAGAAATGGAGCACAGGCACATCTTCTGAGTGTGTTCCCTTAGGGAAGAGTCTGCTGCGTGCTGTGCACCTCTCCTCCTTTCCAGAAAAAGACATAGCTCTCCTAATGTAATACAAAAGGCCTCCATGCAGCCTTGAACTTGAACTTGAACTGGAATATCTTTCTCTCAGAGGTATCTCTCTCCAGGAGTGACTTTACAGACACTGTTATCGGGTATGTGCAAATAAAGAAGTGAGGAAGGGAGGGAAGAGGAGAAATGGAAGAGAAAGAAAGAAGGAAGGGAGGGAGGGAGGGAAAGGAAAGGAAAGGAAAGGAGAGAAGAAAGATATCAGCCAAATCAATCATATACCATATGCTAGTGGTACGGCCGACTTTGCTCCTGGCAATTTTATTTCAACTCTTACCTTCAGTCCAGACCACCCCAAGCAAGGGCCTGCAGAGAAAGTTGCACCAACTCACCCATAGAATAGGCTTTGCGGCTTCCTTTCATCATTTCTTTCTCTCTGATCTCCAAGCTTCCAGTCTGTGAAGCTCACAGCGGGATTTCTGTGCTCCTCAGTCCTTGGGCCCTCCTCCATTTGAGTTGAAGCCCTTCAAGCAGAAAGCAAGGCTGTGTTACATTTCTTGTCTGCACTTACTGGGTAACATCACGCAGGCCTAAAGGTATTTCAGGTTCTCAATTCACATCTGTGGGTTAATATGTGCCCTCTACTAATACAGTAATAGAAAACTCCATGCAATGTGTAAGTTTTTGATCTATCATCCAATAAGTGTCCCTCTGCATCATCTACGTCATGATTGAAGAATGTCCGGTGCCATCAGGTCCCTTATGCAGACACCTGCCTCTTAGGTACTCCAAGGCCACTGATAGTATCTTGGGTGTTTGCTATCAGAGGAGCAGAACTGGGATATTAACTTACACAGCAGTGCAGGTAGAAGAAGCTACCATCAGAACCCTTTCACTTTTGATCAAAACGGAGGTACCTTTCCTGTGAGTGCTATTTAATACAGCTATTTCATTCAATTAAAGATTCCAAATTCTTTTCAAACACTGACCTGGATCATCCTCCATGGGGCATGGGTCACAGGAAGGCAAGGTTTAAAGGAGTTAGTGAGGCTGATGGGAAACCGCTCTGGGACTCTCAGCTCTGCCACTAGTTTGACTGTGTGATAGAGGATAGATGTCAAACTGTCACCCCTTATCTGTGCCTTTGTTTCTATCTGTAAAACAAGGAGTACGAACTAATCAAAATCTCATGACGTCTAGCCTCCATACCCTATTTTTAATCTTCCAGCTTTACACCAAGAACTCAGGGAAACTTCAATCCCTAATACTTCCAGGGCCTTTTGCATTAGCACCCAGGGTTCCTCTGACTCTCTTAAAGCTACTTTGTCTTACACAAGATTTTAATCCTAATGTCCAACAAGGTCAAAGAGAGTCAGCTTCTGAAATGGAAAGATTAATGTTGCCATGGATGGGAGAGAAACCAGAGGGAGATTGCTGCCCGAGCATGAGAATTCTATCTTGTAGGAATTTTTTTTTTCTTCACAGCAAATAAAGCTTATGGATTGCAATGAGGAGTCTGTCGCATTAAAATAAGTCTTTTTACAGTATTTCCCCATTTAAGCCTCACATGGGCAGCATGCTGGATTGGGCCCGGAAAGGCAGACTCACTAGTTTTTCAATTTAGTTTGTTAATAGCCTGCCTTTCATAAAAGCATCAGGCACAATCACACCAATCCCTAAATCAATAGGATGATGCAGCAATGCCTCACAGAAATGATATTTTTGAAATAAATATATACCATTCAGCCAGGCCCGTTTGACATCAAATTTATATACTCAATAAGAAAGCACAATTAATGGTCCCGAACTGTATTTTCCTTCACCTATTTCACATTTCAAGAAGCACAGGATTTCTTAAGGAAAAAAAAAATAAAAGAAAGAAAAAGAGCAAAAAAGCATTCCATTCATAAATGGAATGAAGGTATTAAAGAACAATGCTGGCTTGTCGGGTGCCTCCCAGTACCCGTTTATCTTACTTCCAATCTCATTTCTCTTTTTATTCCGGTCTTTGCTCGGATACCAATTTAATGAGTACTTACCTGACACCCTGTGTAAAACAACTCCACAATCCCTTTCTGTCCTTTTACCCTCTTATTTGCATAATTTCATCACATCGCATTTGTTTACTATCCCCAACAAATCTAAGTTCCTTGGGTACAGTATCTCTGCTTCTGTGTCTAACTATAGTGCCCAGAAAAGTGTCAAGTTTCTGGTAGGTGTCCCAAAGAATTTCTTGAATGAATGAATGAAATGATGAATGAATAGCTATTTTAATTTTTCTCCAAGCTATATCTATCCAGGAGCTGTATGGTCACATTTGATTAAAACAAAAGCAAAAAAAAAAAAAGTGCATGTTTTCCACTTATTAAGTGAATTAATTGGTATATGCCTAGTTTTTGCATGTATATGTGTGTGCATTGTGTGTGTGTGTGTGTGTGTGTGTGTGTGTGTATGTGAATAGGAGAGAGAGAGAGAGAAAATCCATTCACTTGTTCAAAGATTATTCTATAGAACTATTACTAAGGTAATATAATGATAAAACTAGGCTGGTCGCGGTGGTGCATGCTGTAATTCCAGAGACTCAGGAGGTTGAGGCAGGAGGATTACAAGTTCAAAGACAATCTCAGCAATTTATTGAGACCCTAAGCAACTTAGCAAGAACTTCTCAAAATCAAAACATATAAAAAGCTGGGGATGTAGCTCAGTGGTTAAGTACACTGCTTTCAATCTTTAATAATAATAATAATAATAATAATAATAATAATAATAATAATAATAATAATAATAATAATAAATCCATGTTAGTTGGAGAAAATTTTCAGGCTTACCTGTACTATCCATCTGTGGCCCTACCTGCTCAGAACATTTTTATCTTCACCTTAATAAGCATTCCATATTTGTACCCTCTAACTACCACTTGTATCCTTGACGCCAGTTTTATTTGTACTGAAAGGAGAAAAGAAAAATTTTGTGAAATGTTGCTATAAGTTATTAATGAGAAGCCCTTTTAAGATCTTTTCAAAATATCACTAAATACAAGAATTCTATTTCCATCACTCTTGATTGATGGGTTGTGTTTCATTAAAATCAACGCACCCCTGAGACTGGAAAAAGGTCATACTTCAGCTTGTTGGATGATTCCCATAGGGACTTACTAAGTACATACTCCAACTCTTTCTCAGTAGAATCATCTTTCCAGACCAGTGCCAGCAGTGCATTTTAATCCTGAGTACCTAAATCTGTTGTACCTGTATACCAAGAAGTTCAAGTTGATCCAACATGAGCCATCACTGTTAATGACAGCTTGGACAAACTGCAAAGAATTTCAGACTATTACGATCATTGAATTCCAGATTTAGGGGAAAAAAACCCCACAGTATAAAGAATAAATATTTTAAGCAATCACCAGTCTTATGTTATTTTAATCAACTAAGGAAATAAAAAAAATTCCTCAGCAATATGTGGATATAATATATTTTGCCTGAACTTCTACAGAGAACCATTTCCCAAAGAAATTAGCTAATTGGGGTTGGGGAGAAAAGCTGAATGCTGAGACTGATCATATTTATGGAGAGCTTTGTTGGTACAAGCAAAGAATCTGAGAATTGGGCCCTGTCCTAAGACTATGTCAGCTTTAGGACTTTTGATTTTGATTTTAGTTATTTGATATGAAGCAAGCAAGCAAACAAAAAATCTTTTTAAAAGAGATATTTGAAAACTTGAACATCAAAAAAAAAAAAAAATATATATATATATATCAAGCTCTGTGCTAAGGAGCCTATCTTTCCCGTGTACCTTTTCCATGAAGCACCATGAAGTTACTGTGCTTGTAACTAAAGAAAAGGACTGTTAATCATGTTTAGAGTATGCCAACGAAACAGTAGCAGAATAAACAGCTCTAAAGGAAGAAAATTGATAGCATCTAAAGCAGAATTTAAAGGGTCAGGATCTATATACAACACTGGAGTGTATTCTGCCAAATTGTGGGGTGAAAAAGATGAATTTGTGATGGTCTCTTCATTCCAAGAAAGATAAACTACATGCAAACTAGTGTACCATAAGTCAGTTTGGAAGATTCACAGCCTGGATGATGGGAGGCCAGGGTTGTTTGGTCAAGCAGATTACAGAGAAGGATGCATCTGAACCTGACTTTGAAATGTGTCATTGCCAAGGTTTATTTATGAGAGTAAACACATAAGTGGAATAATTCTGATTGTCTCAGAAACAGGTACTGGGTTGGTCATGGAGCATTGGCCTAGTTCTTTAATAATTCACAGCCACTTTACTGGTCCATATATTCTGTTCTAAATGCTGTGGAAATGGTGGTGCATATCATCATTACTGATATTCTTTTTGTTGTTGTTTTGTGTTTTTTGTTTTTTGCAGGTGAGGAAACTAAAGAACAGGGAAGTAAATAACCTTTTCATGGCCCAACAGTGAAGGAACCAAAACTTTAACCACAGTCTATCGGATTCCAATGCCACTGAACCCAACCTTTCATTGACAATAAAGGTTAAGTGTAACTGAGCATTTATGAGAGTCAGGTGATTGATCCCCGAGCACTGTGCAAGTATAGCCATTTAACTCTTGCAGCAACACCATCAGGTAAGCACAGTTATTGCCCATTCTACATATAAAGTAACAGAAGCAGATATCAAGCAACTTACCTGAGGTCACAGAGCTGTGGAGTAGTAGCACCACAGGAGTTCCGATCCTGGTAGTTGGTTTCACAGCTGAGTTTTTAAGTGCTACCGCCTAATGCCTCTCTTGCTTTGCATTATTCAAAATATCCTCCATGCACCTACCATCCATCCTATCCCACAGTGTTGTTTTATAGTGTGAAGATGATGCTGCCATTTAAAACCTGGTAGTTTTTCACCACTTCCCTGATTACTTGTTCTTATTTTTTTTTTTACCAGAAACAGCTGTCTTGACTGAGGAGCGCGTATAGAGAATGATCAGAGAGCTATAAATGTCCCATCGGCCTGAAAACTTCTCCACAGAGCACAGTCAAGGTCTTGAATGTCTAATCTTTGGACTTGAATCTTCTTAAAGGTCAGGGTGAAAGAAGAAATCCATGGGCTAAAACCCCCAACTGTAATTAGCTTAAATGATTCCCCTTTAAAGAATTGGCCAGACAACTCAGCAGTGAGAAGAGTGAGGACACAGAGGACAGGGTGAGAAGAAAGGAGAGGCGACAGGACTCGGGCTGCTGTGGCAACTGGCAGACAGTGACGGAGACACTGGGAAAGGGAATCTGCTAGGAAAGGAGAGAGAATCTTCATTAGGACAGGTGGAAAAAAACAAGGCTTCTCCTGGTGGCTGTATCACTCCTCCTGGCCTGAACTCATTCTAAGGAACTACAACCTATCGGGCTACACCTGTCCTACTGGGAAATGGAGGCATGTTCCCCTCAGTGCAGCCACATCCTCAGATCTGCAGCAGATACAGGGACATCAAGAGAGGCTGTCAATGTGCAAAACGTAAGAACTGCAGAAGGGAGTCCTGCTGACCAGTACCCCTGGCTTGGTCTCAGTGTGAAGGCAGCTCTGAGTGGGGCTTATCTGCTGTGATTCCTTCTCTTCCACATGCCTTGGCCTGGACAGGGGATCTGGCTGAAAGGCTGTGCATTGTAAATAGTATTTTGAATGTTTAGGGAAACACTTTTCATCTCCTGGGTCATTATATCTTCAAACATGTACTGTTAGAGCTTTGATTTGCGGAACAGGTACATTAGTGTGCTGTAGTCACAAAGTGCTTATCTGACCCTGGCTCTAATCCTGTCCTGTGCAACAGTACAAGTGTATGTTCCTAACTCCATTCAACAGGTGGGGAAGTGGGCATTCAGACCCTGTGACTGATACATTGTCAGAGAGCTTGTGGTCAGGATTTGACTTCATTTTATTTCATCCCAGAAGTTGTGATTTAAGCCTGTTTTCTTTATATGATGCCTAGTCTTTGTTATAAAAGGATAAATAAATAAATAAATCTATAAACACTATTCCTTTTCAAAGGCACGTTTCGGGCAACTCATTCTGGGACCTGAGCTTGGATGCAGGTAGGGAATGGGCATAGGGCATGTCCTGGATTCCCAAGCAGCAAGTCAGTTATAACACAGACTGTGGTCCTACAAGGCTGACTCTTCTCA